TTTTTTTTTGGTACTGGAGATTGAACTCAGGTCCTTGCGCTTGCAAGGCAGGCCACTGAACCACTGAGCTAAATCCCCAGCCCCTACGAACTTAATTCTTTCCACGATTCTTTTTGCTAACTGAATTGGATGAGAACCAAATCAAGTTCAGTGATTAGGTTCAATGTTGACCTTAAAGGGAAATTTGATTTGGTTCTTATCCAACTTGGTTTGCAGCCAGAATCATGGAAAGAATTAAATTCGTGAACCGAGGTACCACTGTAATTGGGACAAGCTGATAGGTTGGATAGCATTTTGACTACCATGCTCAAAATCCTGAATAATAAAAATAATAAAATAGATTTAGTTATCTGTAAGAATGGAGGCAGTGAGATCCATGACTATTTAAAAATGTCTAGCTTTAAAGAATACAACAAATAGGGCCGGGGATTTAGCTCAGTGGTTCCGCCACCTGCCTTGCCAAGCGCAAGGACCTGAGTTCAATCCCCGGTACCAAAAAACAAAACAAAACAAAACAAAAAAACAATACAACAATTAAAAATGTCTAGCTTTAATCCATATAAAGATTCATCTTGGATAATTATATTCCTAATTCTTGGATCTATATGATTTATATTATCTTCCTTGGTTTATTGTAGTGTGTGGCTTTGAAAGCCAGCCAGGGTTTGGAGAAGGCCAGAGAAAAGGGTGTGACCAATAAACTGTATATTCATAAACGGTGGTGTAAGATAAAAGTACAGAATAGAAAGGTTGAGAAAAGTGTAAGAAGAAAGGGGTTGAGCCAGGGATGGTGGTACACACATGTAACATAGCCACTTGGGAGGCTGAGGCAGGAGAATCACAAAGTCAAGTCTAGCGGCTAGCCAGGGCAACTGTCTCAAAGTAAAAATTTTAAAAACTTGTTTTGTTAAAGCTAATGTTAATGTATAATTAAACATTTTTTGGACTTTAGGAAGATAGAGAATATAAAGTGAAATTCTCCCCTTTTTACTGCCCACCAAAAAGCCTTTTCCTTCTAAAAGTACACATTGGTTGCACTTAATAGTATATCTCTTGAGGGAAATTAGTGCCTGTACCTGTAAACATAGCTATATCGATTTTCAAAGTAAAAATGTTTTAAAAGGGCTCAGGATGTAGCTCAGTGGTAGAGTGCTGAGCCTAGCATGTGTGCCTAGCATGTGTGAGCCCCTGGATTTGGTCCCTAGCGCCATAAATAAAAAGAGAGAACAGAATAGAAAAGGTTGGCATAAAAGGCTCTTCTTTATTGTCTTTTGAGTTATGTTGAAAACATTGTTCATTTTCTTGTCTTGCAGTGACCTGCTTGCACAACTTCCTACTCAGATTAGCATGTGCCACAAACAGCATATGTTGGTGCTAACACATGGTACTGTGAGCCTGAGGTACTACTTAGTGTATGTGTAACTGATTTAAAGGGACAGGGAGATCACTTGCAGCTCTCTAGTTGTGTAAATCGAATCAGAGGATTACATTTCTAATTCTCAGGATGAGTTCACCCTGTTATATAGTTCATTGGTTTTTAGTGTACAGTATTCACACAGTTGTGCAACTGTCATTATCATCCAAAATATTCTCACTACCCCAAAAAGAAGCCCCAGATTCGTTAGCAGTCACTTCTCATTTACCACCCTCCCCCAATCTCTGGTAACCACAGCTCTACTTTCCTGCTTATTGTGAAACATTTCAGACAAATGGAATCAAACATCGTGTAGGCTTTTGTGTCTGGCTTTTTCATTTAGCATCATGTGTTTGAGGTGCCACCCACATGGCAGAGTTGTATATATAAAATGTGCCACATTTTCTATATTCATTTATCAGTTGATGAACATTTGGGTTGTTTCTACGTTTTGGCTATTATGAATAGTGTAACTGAACATTCATGTACCTGCTTTTACATCAACATATGCTTTTCAGTTCTCTTGGGTATACATCGAGAAGAACTGTTGGAGAATTGCCAAGTTTTCTCTTACCCGCATTACCATTTTACAGTCCTACTTGTAGTGTATCACGTTTCCCAGTTTGTCCAGCTCCTCATCGTTGCTTGTTATTATCCGTCTTTGATTTTAGCCACCTCAGGTGTGAAGTGGTATTTCATGGTAGTTTTGATTTGCATTTCACTACAGGATTGGATGAAGTCGTTAGCATTTTTGCCTGTGTTTAAATTGAGTTATTTTTTTTAACCTAATGAATTGTAAGAAGTACAGTTTATTATTTCTTTTGTTGCTTTTGCTTTTGGTGTCATATTGAATTTGTATTTAATACAATGTGAGCTACTGAAAAATTCAGGAAGTGATATCCTTGATACCTGGTGAGTATGTAAACATTTTAACAAATGATTTCCATTTCATTTTAATTGTAGTTTTCAGAGTTAAGCTTTAAATGAAAGTGGAGCTTTTAAAAAATACTTTAGATATTTTAAAACGTGTCATTTTGGAACCATATTGGAACTTTGATGATTGAACTCAGTATTCTAGGTTCTCAATTCTAGGTTTTTCAAATTATTCTGGGTTTTCTTGTAGACTTTAATACAAATCTGTATACTTTACAGAGCATGATTCCAATGTGCATGCTGCTTTATTTCATCCCTTAACAGTATACAATTCTATGTCTCCATGTCGCAGGTTGTTCAGAGGATCCCCTGACTAGGCATTTAAATCATTTCCATTTGCCCAACTAGACATTTTCAGTTTCATTTCTTTCTTTTTGTAGAAAGGTGATTTTAGAATAGTATGGGCATACATATATTTTTAGATACAGTCTAAAAACTGACAAGTGATATGATACATGTCTGTATAATTTGAATCTTTTTAGAGAGCCTGTCTCACTGTTACTAGACATAATAAGTCAGTTCCAGAATTCTGTATGGTAAACGGTAAAGGCACACACAGGTGTGAGGAGAACAGGGGAAGAGGGTTCAGTCAGAGATGCAGGTGTTAGGGAGGGGATGAAGTCCAGCTGCATCTACAAGGGGTGGGGAGGAGGAACTGGGTGGGGTGCCAGGCGAAGCTTGAAGTCACATGGTGAATATATGACTGGAGGATTGAGTATGAGGCACAGTTGCCTCTGTTTGTACTCCTAAGCCCCACTGGAGGTGACCAGGGTGATGAGGGCATCCATCCCAGCTTAGCCTGGATGGAGCCTTCCTCCTTCCCTCACTTGAAACTCACCATCCCATTGCAGATGGTTACTCTGGGTCTGATGGAGTCAGCCACTGCTGAAGCTGCTTTGAACGCTTTTCATTATCCTAGGGCACTGGCAGAAATCTTCCCATGGCTTCTGAGGCTGTGCCGACTCCAGGGCCTGGCCCTCCAGCCCTGTCTGCGTAGCGTACTTCTCCTCTACAGCCTCTACGTGCTCAGGCCTTCCTGGGGGTCTCCTAGTCCATGCCAGAGCTAGGCCTCCTTGGCACGGCCTTGCATGAGTTAGTCTCTTTTCCTGGTTCCCCCCACTTCCTGCTGAGTTTAGCCTGTAGTAAACCTGAGTCAGATTCCCTCCCTGGAGTCACATTGGTGAGAGCTGTATCTCCAAGGACAGCATGTGGCTGAAATGGTCACTGAGACATGAAAACACCCTCACTGGAAACCATGTACAGTCTCCCATTAACAGTGTAACACAACCCACTTTCCCTCCACTGTTGGAAGGTGCTGCTTTTTCCTTAAGTGCGGCTCTGCAGGTGAAATAGTTGGCTTATGTTACTGATCGTGTGGTATGCAAACGAAGTCCGTCTGATGGCTGAAATCACAGAGGCATGCAAGGCCTCAGTCTGATTGAGGGGGCCCATGTTTGTACCTCCAGTTATGCCTGTCAGTCAGGGAGGGAGATGGTAGGCAGGCTCCCCTACACTATTTTTTAAGCATGCATTGATTGATTGATTACCTGTACTGGGATTGAACCCTGGACCTTCACACTGAGCTACCTTCCCAGGGCTTTTTTATTTTTAGACAGGGTCTCTCTAAAATTGCTAAATTTTCAATTTCCGGTACAAAAAAAAAAAAAAAGTAAAATTGCTAGATTGCCCAGGTGGGACTAGAATTGTCCATCCTCTTGCCTCAGCCTCCTGGAGTGATTGATGCCTTTATAGATGTGTACCACCCCACCTCCACCTGCTCTTTGAGCATTGGCTATCAGTAGTTGTACTTTATACCATGTACCACCACCTTTTGTAGGACTGCCACAGTTGTGACTTAAGTGGTTTTGTGTGTGGCTTAGGGTCTAGCATTGTGGCACTCACTGAAAATACTTGTTGAAAAACTGTTCCATTGAGCACTAGGCTTCCGTTAAGTGGGTTCAGAAGTGAGTCTGCAAATATTTGACTCACGTTTCGTTTAAGTCATGTTTTAAACAACTTAAACTTCAGTAAAACATAGGCACACACAGATGCACTTTACACTGCTTAGTGACATGTCAGAGAGTACTAGTTCTGTCACTTTAAATTGTTCTCTTAAACATCAGATCACGGAATAGAGCAAGTTGAAAGGTCTTACTGAATGCCTCAGGTGTCACACAGCTACCACCCAAAGCTGGGTCACAGTGGGCGGTGGGCACTGAGGGAGGCCCGGGGCAGGGCGGGGGAGGGGCGCGGAGTAGCACCCCTGTGACGGTTGAGCCTGAGCGCTGCAGCTGCGCGTGACTGCGCGTGA